TGCAGTTTATAGACTTGGCCTTTTACTTTCAGTCCTTTCAATTCCTTTTTATCTCTAATTTGTTCATTTAGTATTTCTAGAGTCAAAATAAATAGGAGTGGGGACAGTGGACACCCCTGTCTAGTACCTTTCTGTATTTGGATTTCTTTTGATAACTCGCCGTTAATTCTCACTTTTGCCTTTTGTTCAGTATATATTGCTATAATTAATTTCATAAATCTTTCTCCAACTTGCAGTGTTTCCAACGTATATATCAGAAAATTCCAATCAAGATTATCAAAGGCTTTCTCTGCATCCAAGAATATCATGGCCATCTGTTTCTCCGGGTGTGCTTCATAATATTCCTCTCATCTTCTGTCGTGTTGGTCTCTAGCACTCATCCCTCAGCTCAGAGCCATACACCTCCAGCTCACACAGGGTCAGGGACTCCTCCCGGCCAGGAATGAGGACGCTCACGTAGCGGCCTTTACGTCTCTCGCAGCAGACGATGCTCAGGGATCCGGCACTGCCGTTGGTGATGGTCCCACAGCTGCAGGCAGAAAGGGCAGGTCGGCCAGTCAGAGGGGCTGGTGGGGGGCAGGGAGGGGGGCTCCTTGGACCAGCCCCTTCCTCTTCCTCCAAGCCCCACGACTTGACTTACACTGGGCAGGGAGTGGGTGTTTGACCCACCAGGTGTTAATGGGCTATAACTCCCATCGTGCCTCATCTTCAGGCTAATGGGAATGGGGACTCTGAAACATCTTGAGGCCTCTCCCCAAGAAAACAATGAGGTCTAGCCCCTTGGTGCCTATTTTATAGGTGTGTGAAGCAAGCTGTCCAAAATTTCAGGGAATCCTCCAGCTTCCACTCGGGTACTCTTTTAAAGGAAGAGCTTGTCGGGGGTCTGGCTTTCTCTCTCCCAATCCAGATTCATGGATCTTGCTAAAGATCGAGATGCGGTATGATGAACGCATGTGGGGTAGATGTGTGGAGAGACGTCCATGTGCCCCTAACAGAGGCATGACTGCCAGCCTTTCCTCCCCAGGGCAGACTTTAAGCCACGCCACTTCAGGACACAAAATAGCTGTTCTGAGGTGTGCATGTCTTTCCCATCTTCTGCAACCATACAAGGGGTGGTGGTGGTGGTGGGTGTCTTCTGCTCTGAATTTTATTAAAGACCCCTAAAATACACCCCCTCAATTTTGCACCCTTTGCCGAGGGACAGCGGCAGGCAGTGGAATTCAGAGGTGCCCCCAGAGGTGGAGGGGATCAGGCTAAAGAAGGTTGCTTCAAAAGTGCGGGGTGCTGCAGGGGAGCGACCCTTGCCTGCACCAGCAAGCACCGGGTGGTGCCCTTGAGCCTCCTGTGCTGGGTTCTCCTGTTTTGGGGAGAACAGGAGACGGGCCACGGAAGACCCGTCTGCCACCCCTTCCTTCTCAGGAAGGCCGCACATTAAAAAGAAGAAAAGGAGGAGGACCCCGTGTGCTTCCCTCGGCATGAAGACCGTTCAGAGTTTGTATATTTTCAAGAACGAAGAATGAAGCCTCTTGGCTTTCTCTGCCCCTTAAGGGCTGGCTCCAGGGGGACCCCAAAACCATCACTCGGCCAGACAGAATCACGAGGAGGGCCGGCAGGCCCTTCCCCATCCCTCACGAAACCACAAAGCCAAGCCCATTTCAATCTCAAGTCAGTTTCCCCCACCACACTCCACCCACCAACCTGCTTCCTGACATCCCCAGGGGGCCCCCACAAGTGGAAAATCGTGCCTGAGGCTGGCCTCGTGGCCTAAGGTTTTGGTCTGGGCTGATGGTTGTGCCTTTACTGCTAGAAACACGGGGCCGACGTTGGTCTTGCTTTGGTTTACCATTTCTTAGTGTGGCATTTGTTTGATTCCTTTTAGCATTTGTATACTAGAGGGAGGGAAGGAAGGAAGGAAGGAAGGAAGGAAGGAAGGAAGGAAGGTTACTGTGGGCTGCCAAACCCAGGTTACACACAGAGAGAGAGAGAGAGAGCGCTACTTCCTCCCTTTGGCATCCTCTCTTCTGTCAAACGAGGAGGCGGCTGCAGCTTACACAGAGTTGCACCTCCCGTGGTTGGCCAGGGAGTCTCCAACATGGATCTGAGCCCCTCGGATCCTCTCGGAGCAGCAATCCTGCCGGTTCTTCACCACCACGGCCGTGACGGCGTAGCGGGCGCCCAGGTCCACCCTCCACCACGGCTCCCTCTCCCTCGTCGTGTGGCTGCAGGAGCCGTGGCTCCAGTCCCCGTCCCGATGCCCGTCCACGGCGCTCTCGGCCCGGCTGTAGACCGTGCCCCACTGGGGGTAGGTGGACGACTGAGCGGCTGGCCGGCCTCGGGCCCAGTTCCTTGCTATGGTCAAAAAGACAGGTGTGGTTGGAGAACCCGGCCTCACGGTCCTTCCTAGGATCCGTGGCATGGCCAGTGGCCGGTGACACACGGAAATATAGAAAAGCATCTGCTTTGTGGTTCTCTATGTATCTGCTTCCTTTTCAGCATTGGAAAACCTGGAAAGGGATGCAGGGCAGGTCAGAAGGATGGTTCTCAGGGGTAAGGCAGTGATGCTAGAGACCAAAGCCAAGAAGAGCTACCCAAGGACCTTGCCAAATGCTGAGCATGTGGAGGAAGAGGATGGGAGGAGGAGAGACAGAGAGAATAAGGCCAAAGGGGGTGCTGGAGGAGAGCCTTTCAGGGACCCTAAACCACCAGAAAGACAAATAAATAAATGGGTTCTGGAACAAATCAATAATAACGGTTGTGTAGCCCTCAAGTCAATTCAGACTGAGGGTGACCATTTCCAGGGTTTTTTAAGGTAGAGAAGACGCTGCCACCTGGACCCTCGGCTGGCAGAATCGGTGGGTGGGTGGGTGGAAGCGGGCACTGACGGTGAAGATTTAACCCACCGCAGGATGGAGGAAAGGAACAGATGAAGGGCTCAGAGGGAGAAAGCTTTGGCAACAGGGATGTGCTTGCGTGCGTGCGAGAGAGAGTTAGAGAGAGTTAAGTTAGGAATCTTAATCGGCAACCGGGATGTGCGTGCGTGCGTGCGCGAGAGAGTTAGAGAGAGTTTAGTTAGGAATCTTAAAAGCAGGGGTGGAAAAGCGAGGGCAGTTT